TTAGGTGCTCATGACAGGAATAACTGTGTGGACACACAAGGAGTAAGTAGGTTATATGAACTAAATCTGTAAATTGTTCATATTTCCGTATATTTAGCGTTGTAAATCGACCACATTTAGTTCCTCATATTATTCCTTATTGTGGGTTCAAATTCTCAACGGTCCTCCCGCGCAACTTACAACAACAACAACAGCATTTATTATTTATAGAGCGCCTTTTCTATAAACGTAATTAATCAAATGCGTATTACAATATAACAATGAATATAATAACATCTTAATAAAACTATATAAATAAATATATACATGTGTTCTTAAAAATTAAACCTAAAAAATCTCAACAAAATGCCTTGGGAAACAAATAGTCTTAACTAAACGTTTAAAAGAATCAACGTTTTTTGCCTGCCTCATTGGCAAGGGAGAACCGTTCCATAGCACTGGGGCCGCCACCGTAAACGCTACCGCAAATAAATAATAACATGTCCGAGAATAATCTTTCTCTTTTTTCTCGAGACGTGAGGATAGGACACCTGTGAGCAAACTGGCATTTTTCATTTTTGACTGACTTCACGCTGAGGTACCTAAATCCTCGGCAGACGTGAATTTTTTGTGGACAGAACGTGGTTCAACGGAAAACCAACACGCTTTCGCAGCTCCTCTGCTTTGATGCAGGGTTAATCTTCGGAGTTGCATGCGAGGTAAATCTTTGGATCAGGTTCGACCTCCTGCTTTTAGGTGAAATGCTTGCGCACAGTCATCGTAATCTTCTCCAAGTTTCAGGCCATCCAGTCCTCTTGACTCTTTCAGTGTGGGCGTTCAGGTTATTATGAAAATTTGCGACGTCAACATACCCAGATCCGAGCACAGTTCTTTTACGAATGATAATAATCTTCCGCACGATCCAGGTTACCGAGCTCACGGTGTACCTGACCAAGACTGTTGTAAGTAGTTGCTACATGAACATGGTCAGGTCCAAGCTTTTTAAAAAATATGGCCCGTGCACGATTTTAAACAGGCTTTTTTTTTTTGTAAGGCATGTAACGCAATATTTCCTGCAAGTCACTGTCGTTTCCATACCATGATAAAACTCAACACAATGAACCGTATTTCCTCGAATAGGCGCCCACGCTCAAACAAACGCCCTTCTCGAATAGGCACCCCCTCCTCCCTCATTCTCTTAAATTGTCGTCGGGATACTAGGAAAACCTGTTTCCATTGCCACTTGATCTTTAACTTTTTAAGCTTCAACTACAGCGGAATCAGTGAGGGTAAATAGTATCTTTTCCGTTGAATCACTTCCAGTTGCGTCTCTCCCCTTATGCTTGTACAGTTCCTTTATGTGTGTTGCCTTTTCTTTTAATTTTTGTCCCATTGCTGCGCTTACCTACTAAGTGCCTTCCTTCCAATAAGCGTCTTTTTTTTTTGCCCGGAATTTTAAATAAGCGCCACGGTGTCAATTAAGTTATGGAAATCACAATAACTGGAAGCCACGAGGCACGAGATGAACTAGGTAACTTGCTCGCGCACGTTGCAACTTGTTCGTGCCGGTTGCAGCTGGCTCCACTCAAACTGGCATCAACAAATTACCAACGTTTGCTAGTTTTACTGAAATTCACCTTGAGGAAGGATTTCTCGTCATCGTATCGAAATCCGTTTTTAGATTTCATGTTCTATTGAAAAATCCTAAAATCCTCATTTCAAAATCTAATTTCACTAAGATTTCTCCATCGAAAGCACCTCAGGTTACCATCAAAAGAAAATCCGGTTTGACTATAAATGTCCACATAACGCGGGCGCTGAGGCTATTTTCCAATTGATAACCATAAAATCGCTTGGAAGTTAAATTCTCTTCTGTAGAGTCATTTTTCGCGCGGAATTCTTCTTTGATGAGTTCATCTTAATTATCTTACCAAATGTTCCTCATCACTTAGTCTTCCTGTGGAGAAAACTAAGTTTGCCAGGTGACCGCAAACTGTTGCTATATCAGTGTATCAGTGTCTGTTGCTAAGGTTATGCAGCTTAATCAAAGGATATTTACAACACTTCTTACAACTCTAAAAGTACGATCACCTGATACAGACCAATGACGATTTACCACACGAGAAGTCCGCTTCGAGACGAGACATTTCGCAGGAGATTGTGTTTCTTCTGAAAGGTCACCTTCAAATGTTTATTTTTTTAGGCGCCGCTTGAAACACGAAATTACATTTGATGGGTTGCCAACTACGAAGTTGAAATGGAAGCGCGTTGTAACAGCGCTTGAAAAGCTAGTGGGACTCCAGCCAGTGCCGTTGAGTTTTCGCCTAAAATCGAATTCTTTTTTCAGTTTTTGTTCGGCGATGCTTAGAATAAACGCTTAAAACTAGTTTTAAGATGAACATTTGCGTGTCTTAAAAAGATGAGGAGCTACTGAAAGAACTTTAGTAAATCCAGTGATGTTCTCGGTTGCATTTCGTGAGATTTCTCCGAAAGCTTCTAAGAGTCACGGAAGACTCACTTCCAGCATTCGTTTTCGTTTTTATTTTATTCGTCGCTGTACTCACTTGTCTACATACGACATAGCTGTATCCTCAGGCTTTCGTGACAAATTTAATTGTCTAAAAGATTACTATCGGTTCTATTCTCTAAGATATATTAGATTTGGCATGAATTTTCCCACAAAGCAACCTCTCAAGATATTAAAGAAACCTTAAGTCTGATTTCATTCGCCGTGCGCGTCAAAGAAATCGGTGAATAGAGAAATAATTCAACCGGTTAGGGTCAACTTTGGTTGGAATTACTGGTTCTCAAATGTTCAACATAAATCTCGACCTTGAATTGTTTTTTTGATCAGTGGATGTTACTTCAACTGATTTCGTGTGCTGAAATAAAGGAAATATTATAAAGGAAATATTATAATATTACATCTGGGTCTTCCGGAGGTATTTGGTTTTAGGTCTTTGGTCTTTGGTGTGTAGACACCCTTCGCATCAGCAACTTAACACAAAACGAACACGATAAATATTATCAATATATACTCACAGTTTCAAGAAACTTTGTCAATAGAAATTCAGCTGCTGGATTGAATGAGAAGAGTAATGCAAAAATTTATTGTGCTTAGCGTGCTTGTCACGTGCTTTTCGTCATTCGTATTTTAGAAGTTGTAAATGCAAAACAAGGGACACAGTTCCAAGAACTACCCTTTTATGCCTGTACACGTCCTGCCTGATTATAACAGACAATTGATGAATGAGAAAGTTCGCAGGGTACTCTGTTTGTAAAGTATCTCTTGTTTACGTGCTTCCGTCTTCAACCCCTCCTCTTGTTACAAGATTTTCTCATTGATTGTGTTCGGATTATGTCCCTTTTCTTTAGACAAAGTGTCTTGTTTGCTTTGCTGAGTTGAACCTACATTGCTTTTCAAGCAAAAAATCATTGAAGCGAAGAAAGGATTCAAGTAAAAGAAGCTCAGGAATGCCATTGGCTTGACTTTAGTCAGCTCCTACTACGGAATCCAGTACTGTTGGAAGTGTCTCAAAGAAACTCTGTAAAAGAAAAAAACCAAGACTCACAATTAATTGCTGAGGAGAATCAATTTGCTCACTAGTCAACCCCCTGGTAGATTCGCACCCGCCCATTCACTCAGATATGGTCAAAACCCCGGTAAACAAATGTCGATTTTCGCCTCTGACAAGTGAGTAAAAGGGCAAGCGCGTAACATGCAAATCAATTGCTATTATGTCTATTTGTGACCTTCTTAACAATAACAAAATAAGTAACGAAGGTAATGTATTTAGACCACGCCAACAGGTCGTACAGTGCGACGATTGCGCTCCTTAGGAGCATTTTCTTAGTCCAAAGAACACACCACTTGGCCACCATAAGAGAACGGGTAGATTGGCGATGCTGTGTGCTTTATAATTTCATGTTAGGTTTTATTTTGCATTTTATATTTTTTGGGCTTAGTGAATTATTTTCCGTTAGTTCAGGTTTAGTTTACGTCTGCTGAATTTTAGTTCAGGCCTACAATGATTTTCTTTGTTTAGGAGAACGTGATTCATTCGTTTGCATCGCTTATATGCTTTGCTTCGCCACATGATTTGTATCGATTCGTTTAGTCGATGAAACAAATTGAACACAAAGACATTTTAATGTGACTACAATAAAAGTTTAACGCTGTCGTGATACTCTTCCAGATTATAGGTTGAATTAAATAAACGTTGTTTATTTTGGTTATATATGTCTCGCTGAACTATTTACAGTGACATTTCACTATTGAAGGATTGGTAACGAAACTAAATACACCAGAAGAGTGTTTCAATCAATCGGTACCTTCAGCGGTTTCTAACAAATATGCCAATTTTGATGTTTTTACAAGTAATAAAAAATCGGGCAGCATGACTATTTATTTCGGGCGAGATGTTTTTTGGGCGACATGATAGAAACCATCACGTGCAACCTCGCCCTAATGTAAGATAGCGTTGCGTAACAGATCATGTAACGCCAGCTTATGAATGCCTTACTAAGCAAAGAAATTGTCACCTTGAATAGCAGTGTCTCTTGATGTACAATAGAGGAGCAGCACATTTCTCGGATGGAGTGCATTGCTAGCTGGGGACCGCCAAGGTCTGAAAGCAGATCATAAATAAAGTTTGCAATTTATCATTTACCATTTACTTCCAGATATTTAGCTTAATCTCACTCAGTAATAACGCACTTGCTTTCCTTGGTTAGAACTTCTGGCTTCATCCCAATTTTTTTAAAGACTTCTTATTTCACTTTCCATACTTTTTCTAGGTCTCAAAAATTCTGATTATTCACCAAATTTTCATGCTTCTTTGAGAATGCGTGACTGTTAGGAAATTGTCTATATCACTTCTGACAGTGATGTTTAGATGCCTGAAACAATTCATAACATCCGAAATTCTTAGATATTGTTTAAATGGTAGAGCTGTATGACAGAAAACAAAAAGGAGTCTGGGAGCAAAGAACTCTTGAAATTATCGAAAAGCATTGTCTGGCTTACACCAATGTACATCCCTGTCAGAAAAATAGTAGTTAAGCAGCAGTTTCAACAACTTTTCCAATTAGTGGCTGCCGATGGTGTAACCCAAACACAAGAGCCTGCTCACAGGCTAAACAGACGGCAGTGACATGTCTTATATCTGACCATGGAATGCTGGTAACCAACTTTTTACTCTTGTGTTGAGTGGATAACATATATTTGTACATCGCTGGTATTTGCACACAACTAAATTCAATTACCTAAGGTTAATAAACCAAGCTTGGCAGACAGGATGGGGCCTATAGTGGTTCCACATGGAGAATCATTTCGCACACACACTTCCTGTGATAAAAAAATACGATGGAATTAAAACTACTGCTCGGTAATTGCAGAAGTTCAAGCAAAGGTAACTAGTTGTCACCATTTTTTATCTAACACATCCCAGAACTTTTACCTGCAGCGGAACCTCACTCTTCTCTGCAATCACCCTTAAAATGCTTGAGGACAGGGCTGTTGTTGCATATCGTTGGTTACTGTTAATTTTAATTACTGGACCCTAAAAAAAAACTACAAAAATAAATAAATTGTACAGGATTTACCACGATGTGAAGTTCAAAATCCACCAGGTCACACCCCTGAATTGGTGTTTGAACATTGCCATGTCAGTGTGAAGGAAGAAAGGATGTTGAACATTTAAATAACGCGTCCAAGATTTAATTGATTTAAGGAAAAAGAGGAGCAAAAATACTTTCCCTTAAGAAGACACCACAGCTTTCGATTCCTGCAGAAACCAAACCTTCTATTCCTGACTGACTAATCTGCAGAGAAGTTTCTCACTCCTAAACACAAGGGTTGTCGAGGGAATTTGAGAAAGTCGTGCAAGCTCAAGATGTAATTCAGGGTCTGCTCAATTTTCTCAAATCATCCCCAACCACAAAGTGTTTAGATGAGGCTAATAAAACAGGGAAAAAAGTTATCTATTGGTTTCATAAAATATTTCCCGGAAGCATAGAGAGTATGACATCATAACTGTGTCTAAATACTCTCCTCGAAACACACCAATCAACCAATGAGAGCAGGTGACTACTATCTCAAGTATTTTAATTATTAACAGTTCTGTTTGTCAAGGCCTCACCTTGTGGAGAGCAGGTTTATGGTTCTCTTCATGTTTTTCTCTACAACAGAAAAGAAGAAAAACCAGTTGTCCATACCCGACCCAAAATGCTGACCTATCACCTGATTAAGGCTAGAAGTTTTCACTCAACTACTGAAGTAACGGCTGATGAGATAAGTTTTTTTATTCCACAACATCCAAAAGCAAATTATAATAAAACAGCTTACAGGGCTATCATCCATATTAACCTATATTTGCCAACTAACCACGCTATCTGAAAACTCATGTGCAAGTCAAACATAACACATTGCAAGAGGCTTTTAACCACTTTGATGCCCATGACTGATCAGCATCTCATTTCTCCCTATGATATAACCCCTAAATCAAACTTTAGGGCCACAAGAATAATTAGGAAATGATCACCAATGAAAGAAACTCTTGATTGCTGAACAAATTCTCCTTCCCAGCCCCTTAAGGAATGTACAGAGAACAGAATGGAGAATGTCAATATCGATGTTGAAGGTTTAAAGGATTTTATAAGTTATGGATACATACGAATAGTTTGGATGCACTGCATGGGCTTGGTCAGCACTGAGAAGAAATGACTTGGGTATTGCCTCTTCAAAACTTGTAGCTGTTCCACCTAGGTTTCAAGCCAAAAAATCATAGCATTAAAAGCTGCGATTGCGCCACTGAGACTCTACAGTATGCTTGGCCACTACAAGGTTCATATATTATGTAAAATTAATGTGATCAAATTGAGAACAACTGACCTGCTGACAAGCGACGCAGAATATGCTCCGTGAGCATTGACTCTGCTCCTTGGGCACTCCCAGAACCAACCTGTCATCAGGATGTTTTAGTAAATTAGTTTACAGTACACTGAATATGCATTGATGGAAGTTACTAAAAACTTGATTGATTAACTGGCATTGGATCAGTTTTCTTTGATGTCATAAACATGTACTTGACTTATTATGTACCTCTTCATTGTCATACAAAGTTATTATTCGGATGTTGGGATCTGATGCCAAAGATGGACCTTCCAGAGATTGAATAAGGCCCTAAGAGTTAAGGAGTACAACATTGTCAATGAAAACAACTCAAGCTTGAAATTAGGATGGCTCAGAATGATCTTTGCTATGTTAAACACCAATTCTTTGATGGATTGTAACTTACTGGTATGCACAACTTTGACTAAGGAATGTACAAAAGCATACCAAGATTTTTAAGGGAACACTTGGAAAAAGGTGGTGGTATATATCTACCAAAGAACTGGTGTTTAAAATTAACAAAGCCAGGTTGAAGCACCTGAACATACACATACAAGAACATGGATCATTATTTCAGAATTGATAAATGGTTTTGGTTTTCTGAAAGGAATATTCTCTCCATTTTGCTCTAAATCAAAGACTCACTCTACCTGTAAAGCACAAAAACAGCTGACTTGGTTGTCCAATCTTGGTGAAAAAATAAACTCTTCCAGTGCACCACCAAAAGTCTAAGAGAGAAAAAATAAAATAGATTAATTAAAGAGAGCCTAAATAAAGTATGGTTGAAATGCAAAATCAGGGGTGTGGCTTGTACAATTTACCACAAGGAATAAGGGGATTAATATTTAATGTTAAAAATTCCTTAAGTGAAGGGGCTCATACCATCTTGTATTGACATACAGTGAGGATTGGCAAATGGAGTAACTGGCAGTGGTAAGAGTTTATGTCATGCAAATTATTTGTATTAGCCCATTTTCAAACCTGAATTTTAATGTTCCTATGTTGTTGGCTCACTCCAACTAAAGGGGTGTAATGGGCAAACCAGAAGACCCCCTGGCTTTACCCATGAAAGGGAAATAACAGCCAGTAATTTGCTATTCTTTGGAATGTGAGTCATTTAGTACAATGTTTTCCCCGTGAATGAAAAGCCAAATCCTCTGACACCCAAGATCTGAGCTACTAATGTTCCATTACACTGATATTAATCTCTTTGAAAATTGGGTAGTTTAGTATATATTTATCAATTAAGTTGATAACGTAAATTGGCCAACTTGAATGTGAAGAGTTTCAAAGCTAACATTTTGAGTGTTAGCCCTTGGTCAGAGCTAACATCAGCTTTGAAACTCTTTATGCTGGCCAATTTACATTTTGATAATACTAAATACCCTGTCATACTCTCCCACTGATGCAGCACTACAGTTTCTTTAGAAACTTACCTCCTTAATTCAATTATCTTTGAAAATTGGTTGAGAAAATAAGGTTTTAAAATCAAGGAAATGACTTCTGACATTGTCATTACCTAGTGAATGTTTCTGTTTACTTAGCATTTTAAAAGAGATGATACATGACACTAAACAGGTTGACTTGTATATGTAAAACAGAATTTACAGGAGAAGGACCCCCTGGAGGTAAAGTATAAATATAATTCTAACCCTCTGCACCCTTAAATTCTCCATACTGTTCTCCATACATTTTGAAGGTGCTGACAAAGAGAATTTGTTTGACAATCAGGATTTTCTTTAGTTGGTGATCATTTCCAACTTGTGACCTCATTGTGTGATTCAGGGGTCATATTGTAAAGAGAAATTAGATGCTAGTCATACACTCTTAGCTGTAAAGAGACTTTTAGCATGCAATCTTTTAAACTTATTGCACATGAATGATGACATGATCAGAAATTGATACTCACAGCAGGCTGGCTGTCAGCCAGGTGCAAGTCAAAGTCCATGATTTGTTCTTGTTCACATTTCAACTCCTCTGTTAAGAGTGTGATTAGAGTTGACTGATGAGAATTGCTCTAAAGAAATAAATTGGTAAATTCAGTGCCATAATTAAGTAAATAAAGAAACAAATATGTAATGAATGAATTTATATCTTACAAGGTGCAATACAATCAATCACGTAGTGCAATTGTTGATCCAGGAAAGAATTGTTGTCAGTAACAATGAATTAAATATTGGCAACCTGAACAGGAGACATCATTAGTGAGTGTATTGCAATTCCCAGGTTGAAACCATTAACTGTACATCATAAATGGATAATTACTCACCCTACATTTTTTTTCCTTGGGCTCTTTGTCACTGATGTCATCTTCATTGGCTGAATTATTCACCAGACTTTCATATACACAAGTTGATAAGATAGGTGCTCTGGAATAAGAGAAAGACAACTCGCTTAAGTTTGTTCAGATATAACTTAATTTACTGTCAGTACTGATCATGCACCCCATGACTCTGTGTTCATGACCACATCAGCTCATCAAGTAAACATATTTACAATAATTCTACAATATAAAGCTTTTCCTTTTTAATAAACCAAGAAAACTATTGATCAGCAGATCTGTTTGATGGACTGTTTCTCATATCACAGTCTTTGGCTTCTTAAAACTATCACTTTTTTCTGCCACTAGAATCTATGCTCATCTAGCATTGTCTGTGTTACAACAACGTTATTCAGATACTCTTGCACTGAACTTGGGCTTTCTGTGGCTTGAATTAAGTTACTTACATGTGAGTTTCTTTATTTGGTGAGAACTTGTCATTGATGTCGCTGCAGATGAATTGCCAGATGTGGAATACGCATGATTGGTCTGTCAATGTGAACTAAATGGTGCTGCAATTTATCACCTTTCTGTTGCATGATCAATTCAAACCAGGAAGAAATAGGAAATAATAATGTTAATATGATCAGGTGGAGTCCAATTCAGTCTGTATTCAATGCAACATTATCATCACCAATTTTATTGAAACTTGTATTATGCAAGCAATGCACAAAAATATTCTTTGTTTTTCTCTATTTTCTCTTTTAAGTGATGTCTCAAGGCAGAATCTAATGTTGGAAGTAAATGCTACAGTATAGTACCTTAATCATAATTCTGCCAGCCAATTTCAAATCCCTGTCAAACCAAGT